AAAAAAAATTGATGTTGCAATTTAAGCTAAAAACCAGAACATTTTCTATTTTCTATGTGAATTTTTCTAAAGAGTCCCCTGATTAAGGAGCAGACTTTTCCTCTACAGTACAAATGGCTCCTAGGAATGTTGTACTTAAATTAGCAGTGAATGAATGAGGTGGTTTCTTGCACCTTGCTAACCTTGCATAAAAAACAAAGCAAAACAAAAACTATTAGTACTACCAATGCTATGTGGTTCTATTTTGCAGTTACTCACATGTCATGCCCAGCCCAAAGTAGAATGGCCCTTCCTGGATTTTATTTAGTCTTTTGGTTTCCATAGTAAGTCCATTATCTACTTGAACTCCAGTGGAAAGTTCAGCATAACTCCTTCAGCTGTCCATGCATAGAAACCTGATTTCCTCTATGTTGACTTTTGGGGGAAAAAAGTTATTTCCTTTGCAACCCAGTTTACAAAATTATAGTTCAGTTACGGTCAAAAGTGCATTAAACTCACAACTTCCTTTCCATGGTGAGGACTGTATACATACCCTAGATATGTAACTTTTACCCCTGTGGTGTCCCTCCCACTCTATTCTGAGACCCTCCTCACTGTCATTTAACTTCAAGTGGACACCATTCAGAGCAGTCTAGTCATGACTGCCAAATGTGAGTTCCAACTTTTATGTTTCATTTACTTGAGCATGTCATACAAACTAATCCTATGGAAAAAAAAAATCAGATGGTACCAAGTGCTGCATAGGGGTTCAAAAGGCTGGTACGATGCAGAATGGTACAGTAGGTGCTTCACATTGTGAGCCTAGGCTTGGTTATACTGCCTTTGAGGAAGTGGAAATAAAATGCCCGATAAAGAGAGCAAGCTTGGTGCAGGAAACCTGAAGAATGTGGGTGCGAGCCAGGGACAGTACAAAAAATTCCAGGTGAATGTATGGCCAAAACTCTGTTAGATGAAATGAGATGCTCCATGTGGTCTAGCCTGTTTGGTGGATGGGGAAGGAAAAGCCAGAAGGGAATGAATGAGCATCCGGAATGCTCTATAGCTATGCTCTCTGGGAAAATCTACTTGTTCTTTTCTCCTTTTAATCCATGAAGCCTTTTTGCAGTTTCAATCAGCACTTGTCTGAGTTGTGCTAATAATAAGTAGAGCTACTAATAATGAGCCGAAGTACACCATATTCATAATAAACTTTATGTGGTTTCCATCATTTTGTCCTGAGATAGGTCATGATCTTTATATTCTTTATAAATGAGAAAACAGATTGAGTCTTTTGTAACTTCAGAAAGATTGAGAAAATCTACACAAGAGTGACAATTAACAACCATGCTGATTAGACCCCCAGACTACAGCCTTGACTATACTGTCCCAAAATTAGATATTTGACAGTTTTTACATTGTAAGAACTGTTCATTCTAATTTCATCGTTTCTCATTAACTTAGCTATCTCTGTCACAGAAGACTTAGTTTCATTTGCTAACAAGATACAGACAAGACATTCTTTTAATTGACATACTCTTAATTATGGAAGGCATGTACATAGAGTAAATAGGTATAGGCTTTGAAGCTGACTGGGTCAGTATGGAATTCATATTGTGAACACTTCTGCAATCCTGGGCGTCATTTATTCTAAGTTTCATCTTACTCATCTGAAAAAGACCACTACTCTTCCTCTTGACAGTTGAGAATCAAAATGCAGAGAAAGGGCGGGAGGGAGGGACAGAGAGACAAAACCCTCATTTCACAGACAAACTCCTAGGGGTATCTTGGTAGAACACATGTTCTACTTTATCGAGCTTCCCTGATTCTCTATCCCATAATGCACACTCACTGAACTACTAAAAGCTGTTGTATACAATTGTGCCTTAGCTCCAGCTCCTGTAACTAAATATTGAATAGTGGTTGGATTGTCAGCAACAGAAACTTAGCTCTCACAGGTGTGGAGGCTAGAAGTCTGCAGGCCTTCAATTCTGGGCTCATGGTGCAGGACTGTTAGGTGCTGTTGAGGGCGCTCTTCCAGGCTGCTGCACTCTCCAGCATGTCCTCATATGGCAAAGACCTAGAAAGTCTCTGAGACCCTTTTCTAAGGGCACTAATTCCATTCATGATGGTTTCGTCCTCATTAATTATCTTCTCTTAATATCACATTAGCAATTAAGATAGGAATTTTTTGGGTGGTGGGTGGTGACATGAAACTGTTGACCATAATATTAAGAACATGCACACAACAGGGTTACAGGATAAATCCTGAGGGTACTTGACTGACCTTGTCAGACACAAAAGTTACATTTCTTGTTATATAGGTCTTGCTTTATCTTGGTCTTAACCATCCAGCAGAAAAGTATAAAAATGAGGTAGATAAAGTAAAGCTATATTAATATGCTGAGCTGTGAAAGGCTCAAGGCAACAACTTCTGTGGATAACCCACTACTATTGTGGACTGCTGGACTGTGTTGGATTGTTTTGCTGAATTCACACACCTACAGTATTTAGATGCCAATGGAATACCCATTTCTGACAGGATTAAACAAAAAAAGGGGATACAAAGCAAGGACCATTTTGTGTCTGTATATGCAGAATAGTTAGGATAGATATACAGCTACTTTCGCTTAATTCAATAAGCAAGATTTGTACTAATAGTGTTTGCACAGGATATCCTGTCTCCTTCTTGTAATATGGATAACCACTAAGAAGATAACAATGTACAATGTATTAATTATTGAAACTGTCCTATTTATCAGTTTTGAAACTGTGTTATTGCTATTTGTTTCTCAATAAAATAACCCCCCCCCAAAAAACCATGCACATAGGGTGTGTGAAACATGGGGTTCAGTCCTCAGCATGCAAATCACAACATTGATCAGGTAGAAAGAGTATTTTGCCTCTGAATTAGAAAGAGAAATGAGAAATTTTCATAGTTCTAGATCTGTAGAAGGATACAGTATCTTTTTAGGTTTGTGAAGATCAACTGCATAATAAATATGTAAAAATGTTTTGGCAGATATGAAATATATTAGTTTCATGAAATTCTGTAAAATATAGGTAAAAAGATCAGAATTATATATTTGTATATATAATTTGAACAGAATGACACTAAAAAATTGGAGAAGTGATCATGATTATATAATTCAAAATAAATGAGACATTTAAAAGCAGCAAATGACTTTAAAATAACTGTACTTTGAAGATGCAAATGAAATATAAGACTATATTATTTTTATTTTAAAGACTCACAAAAGTTGTATATAAGAAATAAAAAATAACACTGAGAATTGATCTTACTAATTTTGGGTAAAAACTGTACACAGTACGCTTTGAGTCCCTGATAATGACAAGCAATTTATCAGCCTTCTTTGCCAGATGACACAGTGTCTGCTCTGCCACAAGACCGAGTCTTCTGGTCTAAGTTAAATATTACTGCAAGAGTTTACCTATTTAAACTTATTTCAGACAATGATTACTTCTTGACATTACACTGTCACTGACAGCAACAAGCATGAGGTCAACAGGGAAACACACTTTGCATTTCTCCAGAAAATGTTCGCTAAGAAACTCCCATTTAAGTAGTATTAATCTTTAACACTGTAGACAGCATGGAAGTTAATCCTGATTTTACAGAATTTACTGTATCTTTTGAGTTCCAGGAATAATATAAGCCAAATATTTATAAAAAATCTTTATTAAAATACATATTCAAAGGACACAGTCTTTTCCATAAGTTAATACCACTGGAATATAACAAAAACACAGAAAAAATGCATTTTAAATATACATGATTAATATTCTTTAAAGAAAATATATTACTTAGATTTTGACAAAAATGATCTTTATAGTAATGAGATAGTTCTACCGCAGAGCTGCTAATGTTTTGTTTTTTTTTTTTTTTTCTTTTTGGCAGAACTAGGGATTGAATTCAGGCCCTTGTGTTTGCCAGGCAAGCACTTATTCTACTGAGCTTATTCTACTTGTATCTCCCTGGCCCCAAGTTTTTTTTTTTCTTTTGAGAGCTGCTAAATTGCACCTAATCAAAAACTAGTAGTTTTCCTTAACTTCTCTATTAGAAAACACCAGTGTCTTTCCATATACAGTAGCAGCCTCTGCTGGAGAAAGACAAATATGCTGTATTACAAAGCATTCGCTCAAATCCATCTTGAACTGGAAGTACTCAATGTTGATTCCTTTTCTTCCCTGCTTAGCCAATAATGTCAATTAAAACCATTATTTTTAAGGTCTTAAAGATGCACGGGCCTTATCAAGTATATCCTTCCTGATTTTTGGGTATGTTGGATGTGCTTCAAGAACCTGAAAAGACAAAAACAAACAAACAAAACAGAACTTTACTGAGATGAAAGATGCTCCAACTTACTATAAATGGTTATTATAGTTGAGATTTTATTGAACTATAATTACAGCTACAACATCCTTCCAAGATGCCATTAGATATAACCAATACTCATTTTTTTTTTTTTTTTTTGGTACCGGGGATTGAACTCAGGACCCTGTGCTTGCCAGGCAAGCGCTTATCCTACTAAGCTATTGCCCTGGGCCATCCAATACTCACTTTTATTAACAGATAAGAGCAGCAGAGTGCGAGCACTCCTTCTGGAAGGTATAACAAACGTAACTGTTTTCTGAACAGGCAAGTTACAGAAGATAATTTCATATCAATGACCTAGCATATTTTTGTAACAACTTACATATGATTAAGAACTCACAATGTTTAAGAAACTCTTGGAGTGATTTTCTAACCAAGTAGAACACCTCAGATTTACCTGGGGCACACCTTTGAAACACAATTAATGAGCCCACTGAGTCTAAGAATGCCAGTCATTTACAAAAATCCCACAGTGATATTAACTGCTAGCCTTACTGTAATGTACACCCTTAACTTTAGTGAGAAACACTACCTTACAAAGAGAGACTGAGCAATCAACAGCAATCAGTGGCTGAGTGTTTACTAATTATATAGTAATCTGGGAAAAATAACATTAAAAATTATTTTTAAGGCATTATTCTTGCATCTCTTTAAAATGCTTAATATAATGTTCTATACAATCAATGGGACAATGCATATATAAATAAATTTTGGAAGGGGAGATAGCTCAGTGGCTTAAGTGCCTGCCTGGCAAGCACAAAGTCCCTAGGTTCAATCCCTGGTACCAGAAAAAAATAAACAAACAACTACATGAATTATGGAAATTCTAAAACAAATTTAAATCTTTACAGTTTCAGCACAGGTTCATACAGTAGGGAATGAAGCAGAGATATGTAATTTAATAATTTAAATTACAGATTTTTATATTCATCTAAATTTAAATTAGTTAATAAACATTCAGAATAATTCACCAGAACTTCTACTCAGAAAAATGACCCAAAGAATTTATACTACCTTCAGGTATCACCTAACTTGAGATTAAAGTGTTATCAAATATTTCTTCCTCTGGCCTATCACTAAATTGACACAGACATATCACTGTCATAAATTAAAAAATATGTATTTGATTTAAATTTTATTGCCTTCTAAATTCTGAGTGCTGATAATCTCGTTAGACTATCTGATAATCTGATAACTCA